CCCGCTCCTTGTGATGGACGCGTGTCAGGACTTGGAGGGCGCGCAAGACGAGCTTTATCGGCTTTAATGTGGTGTTCATCTTCGTTCTCAAATACCTTGCGCACACCCAAGGGATAGAATTCGCGCAGGTACGGCATGAGCGTGTCAGGGAGGCACCCGGGCTGAGTCCGGGTTTCAACGGCATGGGTGCACTCGGCCACAGCGCGCCGCGAGAGGGCGTCCAAGAGTTGATCTGTGGCCAAAGGTCAGAGAAAAAAATTGACAAAAAAAAAAAAAAAAAAAAAAAAAAAAAAAAAAAAAAAAAAAAAAAAAAAAAAAAAAAAGAACATGGGGAAGCAGAGTCAGACGAGTGAGGTGCCCGCCGAACCAGGGGCGTGGGTAGGCGGTGCTGCATGGCACACCGGCAGGAAAACAGCGGCAGCGATGAAACAACAGCAGGCCACACCTTCATAGTCGAGGAGAGCTACCAGAGGGGCGCCGCTCAAAGTTTGCAAATGGAGGCGGCGTACGATCATCGAGGCCTGTCGGGGGTGCTCCACCTGCATGACAGCTAGGCGAAGGCTGCGCTTGAACGTGGGATGCTCAATGATCTGGGCCGCGGAGTGGGGGTCACTTGGCGTAAGACCAGAGAGCGTAGAGTCGAGGCAGAACTTGTTGCGAGCCACAGCAAAGCCAGACCTTAATGGGCGGAGCACCCATGCGTAAAAATTGGCGGAGGTTGCGTCCGAGATCATCGCCGGTGTAATGGGCGGCAAAGCCGATCAGAACCACGCCACTATAAATTGGCCCGAGCGATGAGGAAGAGATGGGCAACGACCGTGGGGAATGACGGTTTAAAAAGTTGAGCACGGGGTAGGATCAACGCAATACAAGTAGGGTCAAAACAGGCGGGGGTGCCACCCACCTCAGGCCTCGCCGCGGCTCTGTCGCGTGAAAGGTCTGCACACAGGCATCGGAACAAATGAGTGTGGAGATGGCGAGGTAAAAAAATAAAAACAAAAGAACAGCAACAAAAAGCACAGGATGAGGGGGACGGGAGAGACTACGGCGGTGATGAGCGCACGCACAGTCAGGGAGACGGCCTGGACGGAGGCGCGGCCGGGAACGACGAGCGGGGGTGGCCGTTCGCCATTTTCGAGCAGACGCGGATCTGGGCGCGCAGAGCGGGCCTAGAACACAAGCAAGAGGATGGTGGGATCAAGCGATGAGCTGTCGGACGAAGGAGGGTACGGGGACAGAGGCGATCATGATCGGGCGGTCGGAGGGTGGCGCTGCATACCGGGGGATCAAAGAGTCGATGCTTGACTTGCTTGACTCCAGGATGGAGAGCCGGATCCTCGAGCACCACGTAGCATTGTCGCTTGACGCGCTTGGCTGAAGACGCGTAGGCAGCGAGGCATGATGCGTTGGTCAGAGCAAAGGCAAGAGGTGAGACCGGCAAACCGTTCGTTGCAGCAGAAGAGGCCATTGAGGAAAAAAAAAAAAAAAAACGGTCAGGGAATGAGCCAGCGCGGCACGAAGCAGCCTCAACACCGGGTCGAAGATCCCTCCAGCCCGCCCGCCACACACACACACACACACACTATAATGCGCAAAAGGATAGAGAGGCAGGCGCACAGACAGGCGGACAGACACACACGCACACACACACGCACGGACGCACCTGGCTGCTC